TGAATGTACAAGCCGATAGACATAATTGATACTGTTTAAAAAAATGTAGCATCTATTCAAACATGGGCATCCACTAAAATAACATAAGTAATTTTGTGTGTGTGTATTTTCAAGCATGAAAGACTGTCACTATTCAGTGTTAGCTCTAGTGTCCATTTTTATATTGATATATGCTCTATCCCTGATATTGAGCACTTTACACTTTAACTCAAAGATAGCAGACCATAAAGCTATATTTTATGATATAAGAAGTTCTTTCCTCCTTTTTTCTTTGTAAATCTGAAGCACAAAATACAGTTATTTTTTTTTTGTTTGTTAGAACTTTGTATACATATATGTTTCCAGTCTTAAACTACACTGAAGATACTTGGGTGCATAGCAGATCACAAAGTATCTTGAAAAACGTTGTACCCTTTTATACAAGTCCATCAACAATGTGATGAAGACATTATGTATTTCAAAAATATTGAATGTTGGAGTGTCTTGAGTTATGTAATGCAAAACTTTGTATCACAAATGACAGGTAATTAGAATTATTCATGTGAAGTAAATTACAAATAAACTATTTGTAGAAAACACAGGCATCTTCTAAACTGACCCTGGTCAAGGGATCTACAGCCTGGGTATGCTAAACTAGACAATGAATTATTTTGGATTGTCAGTGTAAAATGAAGTCATTTCCATTCCTCCTAAAATTAGAAAGAATCAATATCCTCCTTGAGAACCATGATCACCAAAGTTGACAAATGTGGCATCCCTGTATGCTAGGAGCTAAACTGTGTAGTGTAAATCACCAAGACTTGGAATGCTAAGTTGTGACTTGGCTTCCTTTCACTGCCCATCCTCACCCCAGGGGGCCCGCTTGACTTCCTTTCACTGCCAACAGTGCCATTTTGCCTGCTCACTCTCCCTGGAGTAATGGATTAAAAGTAAAACTACTTTCATAATGTTATTCTTGAAGATATGATGACAGAAACAATGGCTTTTGAACGGGATCTTGATGTTACATTTGAATGGTCTATTAGTGTAAAGAATGTATTAATGTGACAAAAACAACAACAACAAAAAAAAAAAAAAAAAATAAGATTCATATTTGGTGGGAACCCAAAACTTTTTGACAAGCTGATCTCCAGTTGTAGAAAAGCTTTCAACAAGTGAACTAGTTTCCAAGAATTTAAATGCAATGCAAACAACTAAGAAATCAAGCCTTCTAAAACAAAAATAAGAGTTATTATGTTATCGGATACTGCCAGTATTTTTACAGAATTAAACTTGACCTTGTTCATGAAAAGGTATGAATCAGAAGAATGATCATGAGACAAAAAAAAAATATATTGTTGACCCTAAGTGTGATTGAAACAGCCTCTGCCTATCCCTTTAGTCAATTATACTTTTTCTTATTTTTTTCTCACAATAACTCACAATATTTGTATGCTTACCAGGCCAATGTTTTTATTCGTTTTTGCTTCCTTGTAGTTAAAACTTTTATATCATAGTGAGTTTAATCAAGCAAATTAATGAAGAGGAGTAATGCAATGTTACAGAATTTATGGTTGTTCCTTAGTTAATCTCTTCTTAACTTAGCAAATTTTAGAGTAGACGGTAGTAACCACACAAGAATAACAAGGATTTAATTTTCCTTAATTTGTCTATTTTCGTTTGAGCTAAGGAGAAAAAAAAAGAAAAAGAAAAAAAGTGAGATCTATTTTACTTCAAACAATGTAAGCAAATATCGTATTTATTTTTCACTATCACCAACTATTTTATTTATGTCTTCACACTTGCACTTGAAAACGTGTCAATAGGCCAAAGCTTTCTTTTTAACACACACCGCCCATCACGTCGCGAATGGAGTTATAAAAATTTTTTTAAAATAAATAAAAAAACAAGGAGTGTTTTTTGTACAATTGTGTGTAATAGTGAGGACAGGGAACATAATTGTTTTTTAAATCACACTTTGTAGAAAACAAAAACAGACATTTAATCTGTTCCACTCAAGAAACAACAACAATAATAATATATGTTCAGGAGAAAAATAAAATGTGAAAAGTAGACCAATTGATAGTAAATGTAGATTTTCCTTTCAAACCTGAGAAAACTTTAAAAAGGTTTTCTTGAGAAAAGAGAAAAAAAAAAAAGTCTAATCAAGTTGCACAATGAGATTTTTTTAGCCTCAAACAAACCAAAAATGTTACCGATCGACTTTTTTTTAATGACTACGTTTGATTTTTTTTTTTTTTTTTTGTCACATCTGCCCGCTGTTAAATGTTGACACGTCAACAACGTTATGGGCCACAATGCAAGACTTTTTAATTATTTTAAAATAAAAATATGTTTAAAAAATGCCCATTGCGCAAAAAACTCATGACAAATTTAAAAAGATAAATTCTTTTTTAATTTGGCAGATTAGTTTGTTGTATCAATCTGATTTTTAAGCAGAAAAAATAAATGCAGGAAACAAGCAGTTTTTTGGGAGGGGAGGGGGACTAACAAGTTGGAATCCAGAATGCTGAATCAAACAATTCTAGGAAATTTAAACTTAGCATCTTCTTGGCAGATTATTGATAATAGAAAAATAAAAAAACAAAAAACTTTGTAGCTCGACGTACTTCTTTGAAATTTCATCAACAAATTCATTGCAAAACTGGCAGTGTCACCATAAATTAGATTTTGTTGTCACTGACCAGAAACATTAGTATTTCTTTATCAGATGGCATTGGTTTTCGAATCTTCCCACTTTCTAGCGGTATGGGAGCGAGTCTTTAAATTAGCACCAAAATTGTCCTTATTGACTGGTTTCGTTTAATAAAATTAAAAAATAAGCTTAGGTTGTCTTCTGGTACACGAAAAAGAAAAGTTATAAGAATTAATGTCACTTTCTTGTAATTGGATAACTTAAGCAAATTCCAATATATTGTCATGTTTACTGTCGTTACCAGTTCAGTACAAATGTTGAGAAGTATCATTTCTGCTATACAGCAACAACAGACAAGCAAAAAGGATACAAAAATCGCCAATTCAAATTTATCAGACTTTTTTTAGTAAATTCATTTTTTTAAAAATTAGTCCAAGAAAAAAGCAAGTACACACGTGATTATAAGTACTTTTCACTGTTTTAACTTTACTTTTTTTTTTTTGCTATTTCTCAGTTTTTGTACTAAAACAAAATTAAAAACATTGCTGAGAAAATTACAAACTGTTACTGAAGAGGACGGATAAACTTGCCAGTTATTGAAACTGCATGTATTCAGTTGTTTTATGACATGTAAAAAGTGTCACTGTTTGTAGTGTAACAGATTTTTATTTTCAAATAGTGTATTTTAAAAAAATGTAATCGTAGTAACGATGAATTTAATGAAAATGAATGAATGGCTTTGACAAAGAAAAATTTTTTTAGCTCTATTATTTTTAGCGATCGCAGAATAATGATCTCAAAGATGCAATAAAAAGCAACTGAAATCAAGACAGAAACAGTCTGAAAAATGCATAATAAATTCGAATTACTGCTGTTTTTATTTTTATTTTTTTTAATTTTATTTTCTTTAAAATTGTGGTGGCACGACCAAGAAAAATTTAATTAAAGTTCTACTTTTGACATTATTTTAAAGAATTCGTAGCAGTTAATTAAAAAAGATTAAAAAAATTGTAGAGCAGTCTTTCTTTAAAATTTGTTTTAGAAAAAAACTCACACTTGAAAGATTTTGAGAGAACAAGCCTGTCATTGAGCAATTTAAATTGATTTATTTTAAAAATTTAGCAAAAGTAAAAAAAAATGTAGTTAACTACTTAAAAACTTTAAAATTGAAATACTTCATAAAAATTGTTTCTTCTGGCAAAGGAAGTGGTTTTCTTCACCTAAAAAGAGCTAATTTAAATCTTAAAGTTTTATTTTTGACAAAATAAAGCCATTTTCAAGAAGAATCAACTAGTATTTAATTAAATTTTACAAATAAATGAAAACGAAAGAGAAAAGAAACAATTACAATTTGACTTTTGAGTCTCTAGTCTTTTTAGTTTTTAATAAAAATAGTCATTAAGGACCAGAATGTGGATTTGCGATAAACAGGTAGGAATTTGAGTTTAAAAATATAGAAGCAATTTCATTTTTTTTTTTAAATACTTACCTGTGGTTTTCGACAAAGAAGCCCCATCCGTCATAAGAGATGTCGCTTTGGCACTTGCAGATTCGCTGGCCCCAGAACTTGAAGAAGAAGCACTGACCGTTCCCGTCTCAAAATGCGTGTGCGATGATGATGATGACATACTCTAAAAGAAAAAAAAAACGACCACTCTACCTTTGCTTTTCTTGTTTTGTTTTCTCTCGCTCTTCTTTGAATTATCCGACTAATTTTCATACCCCACTGTCCTTTTTCTTCAAATCGATTCTCTTCTTCCTTAATGTTTATTTCTTCTCCCAAAGAGTTTCAGTGATTATGTCACGTGACCGTCGTCTTCGTTCGGGTCGAGTAAATAAATTAATTGACAAGTTTTCTTTTATGGTCTTTCCTAAACAATAAGAATTATGTAAATTTCCAAATTGAAATGCAGAGAAAAATAGTAATACTTTTCTATATATATATATATATATATATATATATATATATATATATATATATAAATCACTCGCTCTGATATTTTGTAATAAATTAGGAAATAAAAAAAAATTTAATAAAACACTTTTCGGTGTTGACAGAGTATGTTGTGTTGTTCTTAAATTTTTCTAAGAGTGTTTCTATTATTTCCCTCTTCTTCTTGTCATTATTGTTTGTTCTTCTTCGTTATTTATCTCTAAGGCTAAAAAAATAAATGTTTATATCAGTTTTTTTACTAGTGTTTTGCTTTTGTTGATTTTACAATCCTGTTTTTTTTACAAGAAAAAAAATGCGGTTTTTTTTTTTTGTATTTTTTTCTAAATAATCAAGGAAGCAGTTTTGCAGTCACACTTTAAAAATAAGCGGTATGAATGTTTTAGGCCTGCCAAAGGCCTCGTGGTTGTAATAATGTTGGCATGCCCAGACCGAAAGCAAACATGCAAAACCAAAATAAGACGTGGACGATGTCGACATGACAGGCGTCAGTCACGTGGTGCGCGTCGAACACCGGAAAATCCTGGTGACATTTTCATTGCTGTTAACGTTCCACTTTTCTCTCATTTTTCTCCCTTGCTCTTTTATCTATGGATGCGCCTTGGCAAACAAAATATATTTCTATACAGTATGATTTTTGAAGGTTTATTTAGTTGTTTTCGGGTTTATTCTACCGTTTTACTTTATAAAATATTATGAACTTTACATTTCTGCTTACTGTCCATAGACATTATTTGATTTATAAAACCTGAGAAAATATCGATTTCATTTTTTTCTCCCATTCTTTCTCTCTACTAATAATCTTTTCCTTTTTTTTAAATATATGGCTGCATCAGCGTAAAATAAATATGGACTTGTATGTTTATGTAGAAAATTTTAAAAACTACTTTCGTGTTTCACAAGCGAGAATACAAAAAAAAACTGGATTTACGAATTTTAGTTACAGTCTGACTCGTGCATAAATTTTACAATTTCATCTTTTTTTTGATTATGCATTTTCGTTTAAGGGGAAAAAAGTATTTTGTTTATTAAAATCAACAAGGTTATCATATTTTTATTCTGTTACTAGGAAGTATGTGAAAGCCAATCATATCAAGCAATTCCGTTATTTGACAAAGCAAAATAAAGATGTTATTGATCGGAAATCAGTTTGAGTTATTTTTTTTTTTTACCAATGTAACAACAAATAACAACACTTAAGCTTTCATTTAAATCATTTATAATCAATGCGACAAGCATTTCATTTTAAAATGCTTCTTGTCGCATTGTTAATTTTTTTTTTAAAAATCAAACACTAAAAAATCTCTAACTTCAAAATAGTTTTGATTTTTTTGTCTTTTTAGACTTTAGTTTTTTATAAATTACGTTTCCTGTAGTCTGCATTTCTTAGTGAGGAATTATCATTATCTACACTATTTACGTGCGGACTATTGTCCTGATCTTTGTTGTTGTTACATTTTTACATTAATGTACCGGCCGTTGTGACCTCCGTCCCTCACAACGGTCGAAATGTTTACTTATGTTTTCATGCTTATTTTTAATAACAAATCTAACGATTTTGCATATTTGCACCGATTTAGAATAGGTTTTTATTTTGAAGTTATTTTCAATTTTTTCCTTCGAAAACGTTTTTTGTAGTGCATCATTTCAAGTAACTCGACTGAGGGTAATATTCAACAATTTGGAAGTTTTCTTTTCTTTTTACAGTCAGGTTCATGCTGTACAAGGCCCGGAGCCACTCGAGATAGAGGGTTACTGTGTTAAAACAGTAATGGCGGTTCATTACTGATCCTTGTTACATCTGGATGACCCGAATTGTGTGCCCTTGTTTTATTGTTGTTGTATTCCTGACTTGGTAATAGATAGTTAAACCCATCAGATGTGTTGCCATGTTGTGAGTGAGAAAGCCCTATATGAACGATATTAATATCGGACAGTATTTTCTAAAGTTAATAAATAAATCTTCAATAGGAAAACATTTAAGATTACCTACTCCTGTACCAACAACATGTATAAAATTATTAATTCACACAATAACCATATTTAAAGAAATTTCTATGGGGCAAACAACAACCCTGGTATTGAACCCACTTGTAATTGTAGATCTAAAGACAATTGTCCAGTAGAGGGCAAATGCAGATCTATATTTATATAGTTATAAAATATATATCAGTTATATATCAAGCAATCATTTCCCCCAAAGAAAATAAGAAAAATTATAATGTTTACATTGGAATTTCTGCAGGGAAATAGAAAAAGATGTCTTAGTTTCAGTTAATTCTCTTTAGTAACTCAACACTCAAGTTTTTTTGTCCAGCTCTGCTGTGGCCAGGTATAGAACTCACAACTCTTTGGGTCTTGTTACTGGATTATTTCAACCAACACTTTTATTAACATTGGGCCTTGTGTCTGAACAATATAAATAGTGTAAATAATTACAATACTTCACCTCAGAAATATAGACAGATATAAAATAATCTGTTTAGAAATTGCCTCTTGGCTTCTGATTGGTCCATTTGCTATGATGTCATATCCTGTTTGAAATAGATATTATTTCTGATTAGCTTGCTGGAATTATCTTTGTTGGAACTGTTTCGAATTAGTTCGTTGAAACATAACTTCATGGCCTTGTGATTCCAAAATTTTTCTACTTTTTTGAAGCTTCAGTCTTCTATATTATTTTTGCCATCACTACAACTACAAAAGAAATGTTAATAAAGTTTTATGACTAAAAAGTACTAATCACAGTCTAATATTCCAGAATAGAGATTTACTGAGATGTACCACAAGTATGACACATAGAGTAAAGATCAAATTCAGTACTCGGATGTAACTGATGTAGTTCAGACAAACTTGCTAACCATTACACCATTTTGAAGTGATGATAGCATACCAGAATAAAAAAATCTGAAGACAGAAGTGGGGTTTCATTTGAGTTTTATATAACAGAACAAGATTTAAGGTTTAAACAATGGTTTATTCAATAATTCTTCTTAACAGAGATGAGGTATTATGTACATTATTTACATTATTCGGACTATGATAACAGCAAAAAATTGCAATATGAGCACTGGTAAAAATGGTTATGAGACATTAGGTTTATAATACCCAGAAATGCATACACTGATGTCCTCAAGGACATGGCACAGTGGATAAAGGCATTGGTTAGATCCAGTGACAGGACCCAAAGAGTGTGAGTTGAATACCTGGTTAAGGCAGTGGAGAACTTTCAGAGGGAAATTAACAGGAGATAACTGATAAATAACATCCATTAAACATGGCATGTGGAACTAGAACAGTCTACCCCAGTGAACGAAATAAAGGGTTCAGTTTGACATTCCAACCACCTGGCTGAAATGTAATAAATATGGCGACAAAGATGAGGACAATAGTCCAAATAATGTAAAGTCTTCTGATGTTTTTTGAAAAATGTTTTCTGATGCTGGGAGTTCAAATCTATTTTTTTTTCATTAATCTATTTTTTTTTTTTTCATTATTATTAATTTGTTTCTATAAAATGTAGTTTTATAAGGTGAAGTTATTAGCACTACATTTTCAAATTATCTTTCTCTTAGACTGTTTGCCAACCAAAGCTCAAGAACCTAGTCTATCTTTTGATATTTAATCTATAACTGAGTGTAGAAGAGATAGATTGTCATTCCCCCCTTTCCCAAAAGGATTCATGTAAAAAGCAAACACAACTCGAATTCAGCATCCCAATCTTGTTTTTCACACCAATAATCACTACGCTATGCATGCATCCAGAAGAGGGTAAATTTTGTAGGGTTTTAGATAGAACTCTCCACCTATTGAGCAGAGGTGAGTTAATGCCCTTGAAACAGTAAGGACAACTGGTATGAATTGGGGGCCCTGATAGAGAGAGTCTTTTCCTATGAAGCGGTCATACATGTATTACAACCAGCATCTCAACTCACACCATGGGGAACAAAGATACCTACTCGTAGTTGATGACCTCACCTTGCCTTAGCTCAAAGGTAGTAAACTTACCAAGTGTAAACCTCATCTAACATAAGTACCATGTTTACGTTTATGTCATGTGTATTATTGTTGCATGTAATAAAAATGGTAAAAAGTATTTTGGCACCTTTCTTTCCATTTTCCCTTTTTAGTACCTCATATTTATTCTTGTTTGGACACTCTTTGAAGTAGGCAGCCATTATAAAATAACCCACCAATAATTTCATTTAAGTTGCCCTTTAGAAAACTATTTAAAATAATGAAAAGAAATCTATTTTGTAACACTTTTTATGCATTAATATTTTCATAAATTATTCATGTAAAAATTCTTTGTTTTAATTATCTTGTATTTTTGTATCAGCACAAGACAAAAAAACCTAATCTAAAATACAGTTTGCTTAAGATCAATAATTCTATAAACATTAGCAAAATAATGTCAACTTTTCAATGTGAGGGTCAAATGATAAGCCTCACATCGTTGCTGAATTTAATTCAGCCATGTTGAATATAATCTCTGATAATCTTACTTATTATAAAACGCAGATTGTGTGTGTGTGTGTGTGTCTGTACACTTATATATTGGATTGGATTTCCTATATTTTTCAACCAATTTCGACAAAACTTCACAGGACTATGTAAAATTACCTAGTAGTGCTTCTAACAGCGCCCAAAATTGGAAAAACACAATTGTTTTTGCATGAAATCAATTTGAAAACATGATCAAGAGGCATCGCTTTCGCGGAATGAAAGGGGGACAACTCATATCGAGTTATACTTATTATAAAACCCAGGTTGTTTGTGTATGTGTGTGTTCGTTTATATATGGGATCGGATTTCCTACATTTTTCAACCGATTTCAACAAAACTTCACTTTTTTTTTTGGCAGGTAGTGTTTCTTATTGTCTTGCACTTTTTTTCTTTATTTTTACATTCAGAATGCTTTAAAAATTCCATTTACAAGACAATTGTTTATAATAAAATTCTATTCAATCGGTAGACTCATAACGATTGAAAACAATGTTTTTGTTTGAGTTTGGGTTTGACTAATTCGTAAAAAAAATAAAAATAAAAAATAAAAAACTAATTAAGTCATGAATGTCCGTCAACCTTAAACAATAATCTTTGTCAATTTTATTTTTCAGTCTTTATGATGGTCGATACTTGATCTATCTCTTACTGTTACATCCCCAGGCAATGCCAGGCTCTACTGCTAGTTGATAATAAAATAATAATAATTGTAGCCATAGAACAGATTTGAATGAGAATCCCAAGTTGTGTCTTGTCTGATGGCCTTCTTTATTCATTGTCTATGAAAAGAAAAGCAACAAGTTTAAACAAACAAAGCTTAATCCTTTTAGACTTTAACACAGATTTTAGATTATTTGATAAAACTATTTTACTTAAGTCATAATGATATATAAAAAAGCAAATGATATACATAAAACATCACTGGGCAATTTTTATAAAAAGTGAGAAAAAAATTCTAAAACATTTAACTATAACAATTAGTCATATTACAATCTAAAATTTATTGAATTTCTATTATATTCAGATTGGTAAACTTAGATCATTATGCCATCAAAAAATTGGAGTGTCAAAAGGACATTTTCCATTGACACTATTTTTATTTTAACTACCTTCACTCCTTAGCAATGATTAATGTTTTAAAAAGTGATTAAAATTGTGATAAAACCTAAACATATGATGAATGTGAATTTATACGAGATTTTGTTCTTGAAAATTTACAGCAATAATATTAAACACTATTTATTTATTATATTGTTCAGTTAAAAGAATAATTTTATATCTTCAACATTTTAAAAAAACTAATACATTTGTGAAACTAATGCAATGTAAGATTTATCATTTACCAACTTATAAAGAAATAAATATAAAACAATTTTTTATTCATAGATTTATAAACATTTACTAAAATATGTGAACCAACTCTAAGGAAATCCTTATTATTTATCATTTTATAAAGTTTGAATCAATTGGCAATTAGCTGATGTTTTGTTAACAGACAATATAATAAATAATTAACATTTATTATTAGTTTTTTATCAATTCTCAAGAACAAAGCAATTGTATAAATTCACTTTCATATCTTTTGATTTTATTAAAATTCTAATTATCACTTTTTAAAATGATAAACATTGCAGAGGGAGTGAAGGTAATTAAAATAATAGCAGTGTCAAGGGAAAAACTGCCTTTTTGACACTTCATTTTATTTTTAGTACAAAGGTCCAAGTTTGTCTTCATATCTTTGCAACTGAGAAAAATTGATGAAATGTCATTTGAAATTTTTATTATTCTCTATCTATATTAATATCTTCCAGATACAACACATTTTTAAAATCCACTATCCACAAATATAATTTTGTCAAATCACTTAAGTGATCATAATTATGTTTGTTTAAAATTGATTCACAAAATTCTCCTCTTAATTTTTTGGGTTTGCCAGGCATAATCAGTAACTTTAGTGAATTTTAAATTATTTTCTTGCATTTATTTAATAGAAAGGAGTTAGGGTTAGGGTTTTATAAGTAAATGGATCAAGAGGCTGTTATATCTTTTGAAAGTTATGACAACTTTTACTTGTGGACGACTGGTTATGTAGATGAGGCTCTGAAAGTCTTCCACAATTTATAGCAGAAAAGGTATATTGCTTTCAATGAAATGCAATATGGAATGTGGCAAAAGAATTCTATTTCTCTGCAGAATATTTTGCATCCAAATTTATGATGATGGAATGCATGTAGAAAATTCAATCTAAGGGTGAAAATTTGAGAGAAATTATCTATTTTTTTTTTTTTTTTTTTTTTTTACTTTGGATAAAGTTTGAGGAGCCAGGACAATTTCTTATATGTCCTGTGGAATGTCGAGGAGATAAAAATTTTTGTCTTGTGAAAACATTCAATTTGTCCACAAAGAAAAACAAAAGGGTAAGAAGAAAATTGAGAAAGTGTAAATCCAAAATTTTTATCTTCCAGAAATTATTGAGGTGATTTACAAAAATATTCTCTCTCTCTCTCTCCTTCTCTCTCACCTTCATCTCTCTCACCTTCTCCTTCTCTCTTCTTCTCTCTCCTATCTCTCTCCCTCCTTTTTCTCTCCTTCTCTCTCTTTCTTTCCCTCTCTGACTCTCTCTCCTATCTATTTCTCCTTTCTCTCTCGCCTTCTCTCTTCCTCTTTCTCTCTCCTCCTCTCTCTCCTCCTCCTCCTCTCACCTTCTCCTTCTCTCTTCTTCTCTCTCTCCTATCTCTCTCCCTCCTTTTTCTCTCCTTCTCTCTCTTTCTTTCCCTCTCTCACTCTCTCTCCTATCTATTTCTTCTTTCTCTCTCTCGCCTTCTCTCTTTCTCTTTCTCTCTCTCCTTCTCTCTCTCTTTCCTTCTCTCTCACCTTCTCCTTCTCTCTTCTTCTCTCTCTCCTATCTCTCTCCCTCCTTTCTCTCTCCTTCTCTCTCTCTCTCCTTTCTTTCTCCCCCCCCATCTCTTCTCATGGATTTTTGTTTGACAGGAAATAGATTAGGCACAGAAAGATTTTTTAATGACACCCTTCTTTCTCCAACAGATCCTAAGACTCACACAGACTGCTTGATACATTGTCTTTTTATTAACTTATAAATAAAATATTTTATTTATATCTTGCACGTGGACATAGTAGTAGACATAAGAATATCTAAAGTGAATTTTATCTGTACTAACATGGATGTACAGGTAGTCTAACAGTTATTGGTGCTGAAAGGGGACTTAATGTACCTTAATTTGAATTCTTTTACATTTATTTTTGCACCAACACCTCCAGGAAAGGCATGAATCCATCTTTTCTGTCACCAGTATTAAGTTAAATAGCAGAGTAAACTAATCTCTCTAGCCTTGGGTGACAGCCAGTCTAAGAGAAGGAAAACTGAATTTCAAACCATGGAGAAGCCAACCAAATTCTATTTCATGATCTTTCCCAAGAATGCATAGTAATTCACAGTTACTAATCTATGGAGAGCCACAACCTCCTTCGCCTTCAAGCGACATGGCATTTAAAAAAAAATAAAAAAGATAACTGGAAAATTTAGGATGAACTTTTTTGACAATTACAAAAAAAATAAGCAATAATTCATATTTTAATAATTAATTAAAAACCTCATTTTGCAAGTTTAAATGATTTTGATCTGTAATTAAAAAATCATTTGTATTTTCATGGAAAACAATATTTTTAATGAAAATTAATGCCTTTCTGATTTGCCATTCTTGTCTGGTTGACTCAATTAAAATGTTTTCAATTTTATGCTTTGTGAGTAACTATAGGTTATAGCAAGAATATTCCAAGTTAAATGAAAAGTTTCATTATCAGTGAATTGTATGCAAAAGAATGTATAATTAGTGGATTACATGACATCTGAGTCAGCATTAGCAGTGATTTGGCAAAGTGTAATGAAATTTATAAACTTATATATTTCTACAATGGAACCAAACAATGAGCACCACACACACACAAATGTATATGGGATTCCACAATTAAAAAGGCTTTGTGCTACAGTTTATTTTGGTTTGACTTGGTTTGTTTGTTTAATGGCATATCAACTCCTTATGGGTCATTTAGTGCCAAAATTTAGTTTTCTTGGGGCTTTGCTAATTTTTTTTTTATTTCTAAAATGAATTGCTGTTAATTTTTTTACTATGAAAATGTATTGCTAGTATTTTTACTATAAAAATGTATTTTTAGATTTTCATAATATTTAACCTCAGTTTGGGGGTTCACTATTTGTCCATAGCTGGGACGCTAACAGGTGCTACTGTCTTAGGTCAGTGTGGTTCTGGGAACAACAGCAATTAAGAGGTGGTGCCACACTCCTCAAAACCTCCCAATCAGAGGCTTTGCTGCCAGATGTAGTTTATCATCATACCCAGGAAGGGCCACAGTTTGTCTCTATGGCAAAATGAATAAACACACACTTCTATAGAAGTTTTTAACCAGGGCAAGAAATGGTTTGCTAATTTTAATGCCCCCAAAACAAATTTGCTCTCTTTTAATTGTCTTAAAGAACCTTTTTGCCTTCCATCATCATGGCTGATGTTAACATCCATGAGAGAACTCCATTTATAAGTCTACCATTCATCCTTACTTTGAATATTACTCTCACATCTGCTCAAGTGCTTCTGCTTTGTATTTAAAGATTGTTGATAAATTCTAAAGAAGAATCTGCAATGTTATTAATCCTGACCTAGCATCTCAGCTTCAGTCACTTTCTCATGCTGTGATACCATTCGTGGTGAAATTGTGACAACATTCTCTGATCATCTGTTGTTCACTGCACTTGTGATGACATCAAAGGTTGATTGTATTTGCATGTACACTCAACTTGCTATGTGCACAGGTTTGTTTTCTCGGTTGTGATCGCTTTCAACAAATAAAATGAAGACAATTGTTTTTTAAGACTCTCTGGTTGGGAAGTAGCAACAATATGATTTAACTGTGAGATCCTTCTTTCAGCTTCGAGAGCTGGGCTTCTATCTTACTGACTTCCAGCCATGGAAAAGGATCTTTACATTCACTGCCAGTCACTTTAGTCCCTACTGATTCCTCACTAACTGTCCTGTCACTAGCCTCTGGGCAGCTCTAACTCCTCTAGTCACCTACCTACTTTTCTCATGGCTGGACCACTTGTCTTCCAGAAGATTTGGGACCACCTCAAAGCCACATGGGTGGTCAAATCTTTAAAGGACTACTTTTATGGCTATCTAAAATCATTGATAAAATTTTTGTTTCCCAATTTAAAGGCAAACTGGAGATATGAATCCTGAAAACACTGACATTTAAGTTTACTCAAAGATGGACTGCATTCAAAATTCCTACTGAACTCAGACAGCTGAGTGGTTTTAAAAGGAAGGAATTTATCTCCTTAGCTTCTAAAGATGTGTGAGAAATCATATTTTTACATAGTGTAGCCCCTCTGTGCCTTTTCTATAAATATTATCATGGTAATTGTTCATATGAACTTTCCTCTTTCGTACTTCAACTTTACAAATTTCAGTGCTGTATTCAGTGATGCTGATAGGTTTTGAATGTATTGAGCCCACAGGACCCACAATTGGTCATTTCAGTGGATTCCTGGAAAATTCAATAGGTTTCTTAATAAATTTTTGTATTAAACTGTAGGGGCTATAGATTATTTTTTTTTTTTTTTTTTTTTACCATTGTCCCCAAAAACAATTTTAATCATGCTGAATCACTTAAATTGAAAGAACAACTTTTTTTTTGTTTTCCTTTAATTAAATTAATAAATTAAATACAAAAACAGTATTTATACTTAATCACATATCAATTAAGAGACTATATTTAGAAACATCACAAATTTTTTTTTTTTTTTTTTTTTTTTGAATTCATAGAACAAAATTTGCTTCAGGAATTCAGAGGTAGAAATATCAGAAAATGCAGCCACAATAATCTGTTGGCCAGTAATGGATTTTATTTTTTTCTTCAGTGGCATTCTTATAAATTTTTGTCTTACTGTTCACTCAGGAAAAAAAAGGGATCTTGTCTGAAGTGTGACATACATTCAAACACAATCTCAGCATCACAAAATTACAACAGCAATTCTAAGAAAATTTAACTATAGCTGAATGTATCATTTGAAATGAAAGAAAGTCAAATTATTTTAATGTTTGTAAGACAAAAGGATTTAACTTAGGGTAAAGGAAAGGTGGGATGTCTTTGTTTTCTCTCTCTCTCTCTCTCTCTCTCTCTCTCTCTCCCCCTCTCTCTCTCCCTCTCTCTCTCTCTCTCCCTCCCTCCCTCCCTCTCTCTCCTTCTCCTCTCCCTCTCTCTCAGAGTTGGTTTACTTTATTTTGTTTTATGGCATATCAACCACAATGGGTTATTTAATGCTGACAATTTTTATTGCTGGTAATATTTTTCTTCAAAAATTTATTTCTGATGATATTTTTTTCTTCAAAAATCTATACCTGGTAATATTTTTCCTCCAAAAATATATTGCTGGTAATATTTTTCAAAAAATGTATAACTAGTAATTTTTTTTTTTCAAAAATGTATTGCTGGTAATAATTTTGACAAAGTATTTCTGGTATTAAAACCTATTTTTACACTTTCATAGTGTTTTGACCCCAGTTTTTTAATTTTTTTTTGGGGGGGGTAACTACTTACCCATAACTGGGACCCTAACAGGTGCTACCAGCACGGATCAGGGTGGACCTGGGAACATCAGCAATTAAGAGGTGGTTCTACACTCCTTAAAACCTCCTGATCAGAGGCTTTGTTGTTGGACATAGTTTATTGTCTTACCCAGGACACGGATGTAGTTTATCATCATACCCTGGATGCTCTCTCAGAGAAGAGGAGGAAATAGAATAGGAAGAGAATACAATTTTATTGCTCAGCAGAAAGTAAAACTTAGAAAACTTTGCTTATTTTGAAAAGCAACATTCTTTTTCTTTTTCTTTTTAAGACAAGATTTATGTTTTTACTGACACTTTCTTACTATCTTGATTAAATATGTTTTTAGATCTGTCCATGCATTTCTACAAGAATTTTGGTTTTACTGTCCATCTACACTATGCTTTTCAGGGGTTCCCACAACCATTTTCACATGAAGAATTTTTCACTGCACACGTATATAGTAAATACTCAAAAGCATACCAAAATTGTTTGGTAAAAGTTTGTTACTAGTTCGTAGACGGACTTTGTAATGTAGCAAAAAAGACCAAAGGCAGGTAACAAATGATGTTGACTTGTGGAGCGGCTGCTGCTACTACCATATTAAAGAAGAAAGGAAAGCAAACTCGACCATTGAAAACTATATATATATATATATATATATATATATATATATATATAATTTATAATTATATATATAATTTAGTTTTATGGTCAAGGTTAATTTTATGTTTAGGGTTAGCATTGCAAGTGTTTACAAAAAAAATTAAACAATTTTTGTTAATAATTATCAAATTAAAAAGAATATACATTGCTAGCAACTAATAACAATTCAGTTACTATTTTTTGTTCTTGAACTTCTCTTAACTGAGTAATATCCAAGAAAATTGATATTTCTCTGAAAGACTATTTGAATGTTAATGACCCTTGTAAAAACTATAGAAAATACCAAAATATTCGTTGTCTACAGGGAGGGATATTTATGTCTTATCTAGGAATGTGACCCATTTAATCGCATTTAGTCGCTGTTTTTTTTTTGTTTTTTTTTTTAATACATGGTCTTTGCATATCTCCTTTGAATACTTTATTTATTTATTTATTTATTTATTTTTTGGTTAGCTTATGTTGAAATAGCTTTTTAATACTCAAAATCCTATACCGCCCACCACTATTTTCTATTCAGTTGCTCATCACCCACCCAGCTGTTTAAATTACCCACTGGTGGTCGATATTGCCTAGATTGGAAAATCCTACGTTAGATTGTTTAAAGCAAAAGTCGGTAAACTTCAATGAGTTTAGGAGCGTCAAATGAATTTTTTTAAAAAAAAAAAAGAAAAAAAAACGAAAAAAAAGCAA